GGCGCTTGTTTAGGATTCATTTATGGGGGCAGGTAACCAAACAAAGGTTACAATGCCTTCGGATGTGTTAATGCGGTGACCGAATTAGCGAATGCATTAACCCATTAGTAAAAAAAGGGGAAAAAGTAAGGGACCCATGGACGAAAATTTCATCTAAAAGCACGCAATTCCGACCTAAATTTCTATGCCTCATTGGGGGAATCTTTGAAATGAGATGGGTTCGTGCCGCGTAGTCTCATATTCCATTTTCAAATGTCGTGGTGGTGATTTGCCTCAAAACGAGGAAGAATAATGTATTACAATGAACCGACTACGTTTTATCATGGTATTCCTTTATAATTGGTGGAGTATAACTAGAATATGCAAGCATTTCACTTAGATTTGGTAGTTGACACTCCTCGAACCAAGGGAATTGGGAACCAACTTTTTTTTTTTTTTTTTAATCTCTAATATCAATGTATCAAAATAACAACTAATCATAGGTTCGTTTGATATTGCTTCTAGGTGCTTTAATTTTTTTTAATTATCTTTTAATTATTTTAAAAATATATAAAATATTAATTAAAATAAATATTAAATGTATTAAATATGTTTCATATATTTTTGACGATATTAAAGGTTCAAAAAAACCTATAAGTACAATTGTGCTCAACATTCCCAAACAAAGCCTACTCAAGCTTCATTTATTATAATACTAATTTTAATTTTTATAAATTTTACAATTTTTGAAGATTAAAATTAAAAATAAAAATCAATAGTTAATAATATTAAAATTATTTTTATTTTTATTGTTAATAATTAGGAACATATGTTATAAAAATATATGAAAATAAATAATTTTTTTGTTTAGAATTGTAAAATTTATAAAGATCAAAACCAAAAACTACAATTACACCGAATGAAGCTTTAATTTTCCTAAGATTAGTTTTATAACATCTTTAAAATAAGACTTAAAAACCACTAAAAATATGTTCCATTTGAGAAAAGGATAAAAGGGATAATTCTTTTATTTGATTATAAAAGAATTAAAAAAGAAAATGAAGGAGAAGGGAGTTTTTACTTTATGATTTGTTTTTGGGTAAATTACACAAACAGTCACTCAACTTTATCATAACTTGTAATTTAGTGACTCTTATTTTCAATTTGAAACACTACTAAAAAACAACATATAATTGACAGTCAAAAAGCTATCGATTATATTTATATCATTGATAAAAACTCTGTTGATTATGATAAAGTGTCGATTATACTTGATATAATTAACAGCCATTGTAGCTATTGAATATATTGGTTATAATCGACAGAAATAACT